AACCATGGACAAAGAGTAACAGAGCGCTACTAATAGTAGATAGATGAATAGAAAGATAAATAGTACAGTGGTAAGTAGTTGTAGTGATAGTTATAGTAACAGTGATAGTAATAGTTATAGTCGTAAAACGATAGATACAGCTGTAGTGGTAGTAGTAGCAGATAGATAGATGTAGTAGCAGTTACAGTAGTTGTAATAATAGATTTGTAGTATGTAGTAGTATTAGTATCAGCCGCGATAGTGATAGATATAGTGATGGTAACAGTAGCAGTAGTGATAGTTATAGTATAGTAATAGTGTAAGTAATAGACAATAGATACAGGGATAGTAATAGTGGTAATAGTTATAAATTAAGTTACAGCAATAATGATAGATGCGTCGTTAGTAATAGTAATATAGATAGTTGCAGTGGTAGTTTATAGTGTTAGTAATAGTAATAGACATGGATAGTAGCAGTGGTAGTGATAGATATAGTAATAGTTATAGTGTTAGTAATAGATTATAGGTGATAGATGCAGTGACAGTAGTAGTTGTAAACGATAATAATAATAAATAGATGTAGTGGTAATGATAGGCGTAGTAATAGTAACAGTAATAGTAATAGTAATAGTTATAGACGATAGTTACGATAGTAGCAATAGTGATAGATATAGATAGTGTTGATAATAATAATAGTTGCAGACGATAGATGCAGTGATAGTAGTCATAAGAATAGTAATAGTGATAGTGTAAGAATAGTAATAGTAGTCTAGCAATAGTGTGGTAATAATAGTAATAGTATAGTTGATATAGTAAGAGTAAGAAGTATAGTATAAAGGTATACAATACACGTATTAAGATAGTGAGAGAGAGAGAGAGAGAGAGAGAGAGAGAAAGAGAGAGAAGACAGAGAAGAATGAGAGAAAACAGAGAAAGAGAGAATAGTAGCGTGACTACTAGAGAAATTACAAAGCTAGAAAAAGACAGAAGACAACGAACAAATGATAAATATACATAGTAATAGAATCAGAGATAGAAGAAGAAGAAGAAGAAGAAGAGAGAAGGGGTGCAAGGTAGTGAAAGTTCATACAGTGAGGATGGGAAGGGGCGCCGAAAATCCAAGAAAACAGAAAAGGAAAGATGAAGTATGTGATTGGCGAGTCTAAAAACTAAAAAATTCGAGACTCCTTTCTTTCTTATCCAACTTTTTTTCTTTTTTTGTTATTTTTTCCGTACGAAAAGGTAAACCAATTTGAAAAAACGCTCGATCTTACAAGAAAAAAAATAAAAGTTCGTCACCTACGTGTCTGCGTGTACACAGATCTCTTTATGTGTTCGTACACATACGTGTGTGCATGTATACGAACGTGCGGTTGGCTTCATTCTTTTTGTTCCTCAGTTTTCTTTTGTTCTCTCGTTCTATACTCGCTTGCAGCCAAGTTTAAACAAAAATTTGGCTCCTTTCGTTCACTCGTTCTTTTTTTTCTTTTTTTTTTTTTTTTTTTTCTTTTTTTTTTTTTTTTTTTTTTTTTTTTTTTTTTAGAAAAAGAAAATACACACACAAAGTGCGTCGCGCTTATAATCGATACAGTCTAAGAGTTAGAGAATTAAAAGTAATAAAGTAAAAAAAGAAAAAAAACACAGGAGAAAACAAAAAAAAAAAAATATAGTATGGTATAGTAGCAATAGTAGTATAGTAGTAGTAAATAGTAATAGCTAGGGAATAATCAATGACAATGTTAAAGAGTAATTAAATGAGTAATTAGCGCTAGGATTAATCGTAATAACAGTAAGATAGATAATAATCGTAGTAATCGTAATAAAAAAAAAAGAAAAAAGACGAACGCGTGGAGGTTGAAGAAGGAGAAAGGGAGGGGGGGTTAACAACGACGAAACTATCGCATGCGTGTGTGTGTTTGTCGTATTCGTGTTCGTTTTGGGCGATTAAAAAAAATAGTACAGGCTAAGTAATTAATCTAAAAAGAAAAAAAAAAAAAGATGAGAAAAGTAGAAACATAAAGAATTTTTTGGACGTCAGATAAGTAAGAAACGAAGGAAAAATAATACGTATATGTGTATATAATATGTACTATGTTCAGAGGCGACGTGAACGCAACGCATCGAGTAATATACCGGAAGTCAACGAACGTACGCGACAACATGCTTCTTCGGTCGAGTGTGATGAGAAGCCGCGAGTCACGCGACCCGAAAATAATCTCCCTGTTCACCATTTTCTGATTTTCATTCTCTTCTCGATTTCTCAGAAAAAAAAGGGACAATAATTACATTCTTACTTTTCAGATTCTCACTCTATGACGAAATTTTTCTCCTACATTTCCAATATAGAAAATATTCGACGAGTCTCTCGAAGGAATTTCCTGGTCGAAAGAAAAATAATTCTCTTTGCTTTCGGGTTACGTGAATCGCGAGTATTTTATGAATATTTGATACAGAGCGTAAATGTAAGAGTGTCTGTGTGTGTGTGTGTGTGTGTGTGTGTGTGTGAATGTGCGCGGGAGTGGCTCCGTTCGGTAATCGAGGTATAAAAATCCGTAAATAGTAAAATCGTGTATAATTAATAAATCGTGTCGTGCCGAAAGAAGACACGTGGAAGAGCGATCGTCAAAACGTGTCCCACACTCGATGGTCTTGAAACTCGACTCGAGTACGGGCATGTGCGTGTGTGTATTTGTGTGTCGCGTGTTTCATAAATGCGAAGAAATGTGTGAACGTGCGAGCGCAATTCTCTTATAAATGCTTTGGTGGATCGTCGATCGTCGTCGAGAATTCGATCGTATTCTGTTCAACTCTACTTTTGTATCCATTCGATATATATATATATATATATATATTTTTTTTTTTCGTTTTGTTTTTTCTTTTCTAAGAATTTTCTTGGAGTTTCTGAATAATTTTGTTCAAGTTACACGTTGAACTTTTTAAGGCTCGAGAGTCTAGAGAGTTTTGAATAGAAAATGATTGTCGTGACTTGTTTAACCTTCCGAGGGTTCCTTTTTCTTTCTTTCTTGTCCGCGAGTTTGAGAATTTGCGATTCAACATAAACTTCAACTAAAGATCCTTTCGAGACTCACTGTTTAATATCCTTCATTTAATTTGAAGTTTCAACTATAAAATATTCATCACTGAAAAATAATCTATTATTCGAAGTCAATTTAACTGTAAAACTACAGATAAATTTATCATCTACTATGTACTGAGTATTTGTTAGTCCTAGACGATATTAGATACCAAAGATACTACGTATAATATTTGAAACATTGCGAAAATCCACAGTCTTAAACTTCAACGTTGAAATTCACAACCATTGCCTGAAATCAAATTTTCTTCCTCAGAATAATTCTGTTACAATTCGTATATAATTTTCTGTTTCAAATAGTATCCAAAAGTGTGTTCACTCACGAAATGGTCGATCCTCTAAATTTCGAACAACCATCCTTCCGTCAAAAATTCGTTCGTTACTTCCAAAAACAGACATCTAAAAAATAGATATCGCGGTGCTTAGAAAATCTACCTCTACAGTCTCTCGAATAAGAAAGAAAATGCAATTTAAAAAAGTCGATTTACTTGTTTCTTCTTCTCGATGGGAATTCGACGACGACCGATCGATCGAGAAAACAAGGTTCTTTCCTCGGTTTTTTTGCCGTGTGACATCCGTCACTAATCGATCACTAATCTCCTGGGCGACACAACCCGATTCTCCCTAATTGAGAAAACTTACTAACAGCTTAACCCTTAAAACGCCCGCTCGGACAAATCACGAATAAATCCACCGCGCGGCATCTCACTACGTGTATATCTCCCGTGTAGAAAAAAGCAAAAATTGATTTGTCTTGCGAGCTGATTGTGACTTGCAACGCAATTCCTGGCCCACGATTCCGATTCCCTTGATCGTCACTCTCGTGTACTTCTAGCAGTCTTTTCGAAAACCAAAGTTTAACTTCCTTCTTCTCATTTTCTATCTTTTTCCCTTTCCTTTTCAAATTTAATCATATGAAGAGAAGGAGTTGGAAGCTCTTCTGTCTGTCTATTGGAGAAGATATTCTTCTCCGAAACATTTCAATCGATTCCTCTTAGAAATTTAGACGGATCGAAGAAACATCGATAATTTTTAAATCTTTTAACGTGGAGAAAATCTTCAAAAGACTTCAAGTCAAATTTTTCTTCCTCTTTGAAGAAAAAGATTCGGTACATACGTATTTATCATCTGTCTGACACATTTCTCTAATCGATCTAATCTCGTTAACATGCAATCCCCATTCACATTTTTTTTTTCCACTCTTAACGAACGAATCTCAGAAGAACTCCCAACGAAACCAAACGAGAGAATCGAATTACACCAAACGCAGAAAGAAAGAAAGAAAGAAAGAAAGAAAAAAAAAGAAATGGCGCGACGAATAACAAAAGGAGAGAAAACTGCCACAGCTGTAATAGAAAGGCGAGAAGAACGCTCGAGGAAGAAAAAGAAATAGAATAGATCGATACTGGAAGTAACCCAGTTGGATACCAGAAACAACAAATCGTTCCAAGAACAGTAACAGCTTTTTCACTAACTCAGCTCAAAGAGTTTCCCTTTTATAATCATATGATATATATAAATAAAATCATAATATATATATATATATATATATATAATCATCATACATATATACATAATAATCATATATATATATGTAATCATTATATATATATATATATATCCTTTTTCTATTCTTTTTCTTCTTCCTTCTTTTTCCCCTTTCTTTCCTTCAATATTTGTTTCCTACCCTCGAGAATTATCGATATAGAGAGTCGAGTGATTGTCGAGTTCAACTATACGTTATAGTACTCGTTAAAGATCTGGAGGCTTAATTAGAAAGGGATGGGGATAAGAGGGTGGTGGTGGGAGCGACTACAACACGAGTCTAACACGCTATATCGTGTGTGTACACTGTGTACAATGTTGTTTGTGTGTGTCTCGGTTTTGTTTCTTGTATTTCTTTTTAAATCTTTTTTCCTTTTTTTTCTTTCTGTTCTATATATTCACGTGTGTGTGTGTGTGTATGTGTTTTTTCGTCCACTTAACAACTACCCTTAGGATAATCTCTAATGCATCTTTGTCTGGCGACTAAACTCTCGCAGTCGGTGAAGAAGATCGTCAATATTATTTCTCTCCTACATTAATTATTCGTTATTTCTCTCTCTCTCGTTTCTTTCTTTTCTTTTTTTTTTTTTTT